GGGGGGGGGGGGTTGTTATCTGCCTAGTTTTAACTCGAATTGTGCGCCACTGATCCTCGAGGATTTCTCAGTTATTAAAGAGAAAAAGAAAGAGTGCAAGGTTTTCCAACATAACATAAAGCATTTTATGAACTCAATTTAGGCAGGTCCTGGATGCAACTATGAAGAATAGTTAGAAATTCTAAATGTTTGAAAAAAGATGGAAATGGAACAGTAGTATACTTAATTGATAAATGGAACTGAATCTCTTTGGTCTCATTCAATTTATGTGATGGTTAAAAGTTCAGTCTGCACCTGGTTGCTTGCCTTTCACCTAATGGTTGGTGAAATCACATCTTGCTGATGAAAAGCAGAAGAATGGCATGGGTTAACACATTTTGCAGTGTGTCACCTTAGAATTAAACCCCCCTCCAAGAGTCATGAATACCATCTTAAGTTATACTGCACATGGCTAGTCTTTTAAACTCGGAACTGAATAAAGCTGTTGAAACAACACTGGTTTCTTCTGAGAAATGTGCATTTCTATTGCCTCATGCAATTTTTAGAAATTGAAAATCAGTATTGGTTATGATTCTTCTCATTGACTATATAGGCTGAAGAAGCTTCTCGGGAATCGAAACAGACAAAGCAAAGTCGCTATGATGACATCAGGAGGAGGAAGGAGGAGGAGCGTGAAGCTAAAGAGCGTGCACTGGTGAGTATGTGTTTGTGGAATCACTTGATGTGTTGCAGGACTCTTTTGAGAAAACTGGGATAATCTGTGTAGGAAGAAGAAGCTAAGGCTCGACAGGCCAAAGAAGAAGAAGCTGCTGCATTGGAGTTTGAAAAATGGAGAGGCGAAATTTCAGTTGATGCTGAAGGAACAACTGAAAATGAAATACAGGATGGAAGCCAGGGTCTGCTTTTTGATTTTGTGGAATACATTAAGGTAATTTTATTCATGCCAGTTGACCAATGACTAACCAAAGATTCATATACTATATCTGCATTTTTCCTCTTCTTTTTCTTTTGCCTTTTGGATGTGGTGGGATCTTTTCTTTCTTGATAAGTAAGTTTTTCTCTATTTTGCACTAGAATCTTTTGACACTACGCAGACTACTTAAGCTTTATGTTGCTCGGACTCTCCGAAAATGTGTCCGGGTACGTGTCGGATCCTCCGAAAGTAGTGTATTTTTAGAGGATCCGACACGAGTGCGGCAGCATTTTGGAGAGTCCGTGCAACACAACTTAAGCTTGTATTTCAATGTATGGCTATAGCATGTATCTGAAACCAGTTTCAAGACACATAATTTGCAGTTTGGTGAAAATCATTGACATGAGTACATCAAATCTTCTTATTTACTGTCGCAGAAACACAAATGTGTGCCATTGGAAGATCTTGCTGCAGAATTCAAGTTAAGGACTCAGGTAAACACCTTTGTCATTATACCAATTTCTGGGTGTTGGTCACCATATCGCCTTTTTTTTCCCTGTGAAGAATAGTGCTTGTCAGTTTGGTCCTCTAAAAAGGAAGATCCAAGGAAGCTAGGTTATGTGATCTTCTTTTGCTTAGTGAAGTTGTAGAGTAAAGTTGCTCATCTTCCTAACATAAATAGGGATATATAATGTTTTCATTTTAGCTATATGCATTTCTTGAATTTCCCTTTTACTGCCCATTACTGCTTACTTTTTTATGCAGGAGTGTATCAATCGGATCAACTCTCTGGAAGAAATGGGTATTCTCCTTTTTATTTCTTAAAATTTTGGTTAGATTTTGTGCTTTCAAGAAGCCATGAATTCTTGTTCCTAAACAACCAAACATTTTGATGTGATTTCATCAGGGAGACTCTCTGGTGTCATGGATGATAGAGGGAAATACATATACATTTCACTAGAAGAAATGAAAGCTGTAGCTGACTATATTAGACGTGAAGGTAGGGTCAGTATCTCACACCTAGCTAGCAAGTCTAATCAATTCATTGACTTGGAACCAAAAGTAGAGTTGGTTGAGGATATAGGCAGCATCGAGGAGGCCACTGTTGCCTGATCTTAATGCGAGTACGTCTTCATGAACTTGTACGTGTAATTCTATGGAAGTCTAATGTGAAAAAATTGATATGCTTTACCCTAATTTAGATACATATCTTTCTCCTTCCTTTCTCCCTTTTCTGTCTCTTCAATTCCAGGTAAATGGTGGTTATGAAATTCCGAACTTGAGGATTCCAAGACACTTCCTGAAAATTTGCTGCTCAGAAAGCTGTCATTGGCGGGGTATAACCTCCTCCTGTTTGCGAGTATATTGCTGTGGCTACTCCTATGGATGTATATAAGTAGATAATTAGTTTACTAAAAGGACTTCTTTGGCAATTTCCTCCCAGGCTGGCTAAGTTTTGAAGAACAATTTGTCCTATAGTAGCAAATCAAACATGTCTTGGAACTATGTCTACAATTTTAGAGACCCGGTGTTGTTTTCTCGCTTACTTTCTGAGGCAGCTTGTGTCTCTCTTACTGATTTATCAGGTAGATTAGCCTTGCCTGAAAATCCTCTTAGCTGTCAATACCATGTTGAAGGTTTACTCATAACTCTTATAGGCAGCAGGACTAATTCATCTGTATTTTGTCCAATTAGACTAATGTAGAAACCAAAGGCATTACATGAAGAGTTCTTATTTTGCTGATACATTTAGAGTTTATTGAATTTATGGTTTCTGGTTGGGTATTGACAAATAATAGTGGTTTTCAAGAACCGGGCTTGAAATGAGGAAATGTCCGCTCTTATATAGTGTAGATTTCTTTGGATATGATGAGTTTTAATTCGAACTCCAGAAACTTTAGAAAAAGGAAATTGGAAATGCATGTTCGAGTTGTTACAGAATTATATCAACTCTACTGAGTTAAAGACCACCGAACCTACTAAGGGGTGTGGTGAGATGATTGGGATTCCTCCAGCTTTAACTAGAAGTTTGCTTTTACACCTTAGTGAGCCTATCTGGCGTGAATCCGGATTAATCGGGTAAGTCAGTGTCAAATATCGGATGGTTAAGTCGAAGGAAACCAAAGAAAACCACTGAACTTCTTATGCTGTAACTTTGGAAGTGTAGATCCTGTAATGGTTCAGACTCTTTGTGCATGTTTATGAAAGCATTGGACGAAAGAGGGGTTGAAAGTTGCTAGGGGTAGTATTTTTCTCTTGCTTGAGCCCCTTAAATAACAATATTAGTGTTTTTAAAAATAAATATAACTCAAAAAGTAATTTCCAATTTTATGTTCCTCTTTCCATCCGACCACCGTCATTGAAATAGACAATTTGCCATGTCAATTAAGCTAAAATTTGCAATCTAACTCCTCCATGTAAACAAGAAGTTAATTATTACTCCCTCTGTTTTAATTTGTGTGGACATTTTTTTTTAGTCCGTGCCAAAAAGAATGACTTATTTTCATATTTGGAAATAATTTACTTTTATGCAATGATTTATAGCCAAATAAAATACATGTACCTCATTTTACAGCACAAGTTCAAAAGTCTTTCCTTTTTTCTTAAACTCCGTACCCAGTCAAATGAGTTCACATAAATTGAAACGGAGTAAGATGTTAAAGAAATGTTCCATGCCACATTATTCTTTTTTTTTTCTTTTTCTTTTTTCCCTATGGTCCTAAAAATGTTAAAAAGCAGAAAAAAGATTTTTTTTTTGTAATATCTGCTTTTTTAACCATCTAGAAAGGTTCATTTAGCAAACATAGTAAATGTTAGAATCCTGTGTCCCGTCCGTAAAAATCGGGGAAAACTAGAGGAATAGCATTGAAGTTGAATAAGTCTTACAATTTTCTGTCTATTATTACTACAAGGCAGTTTTAACTGTCTGATGCATGGTTTCTCTTACTCCTACGTCGTTCATTTTTTTTGGTAATTGGCATTAATTAACTAATTTGGAATTGAGACGTTCTGATTGATGATTGCCGTGTGCGTTTTCACGCGGCATCAACAAATCGTCCTTCCTCTCCCTCTGCCGCCTCCCTCCTCCTCCTCTGCTTTCTTTGCATGAAAGCCAAAAATTTGAACAAAGATACATCTTAACAAAACAAGAACAACAACAAAATCAAAAAACAAAAACAACCAACATTGTCCATTTCCTTTTAAAAAAACAAAAAACATTATTAATTCCTTCAAATGATTGTAAGAAGTGAAGGAATGAAAATACCATGGAAAAATGCTGCCGCCATCTCTTGCTTTACACTAATCTTGTTATGTTATAACATTCAAATATCTAAAGCTCAAGACTACGGCGGCGGCGACGAGTCGTCTGTCCCGGCCGCACCACCGCCGGAGCAAGAGAACTGCGACGGCATATTCGTTTCATATACATTCGACAGCCGCGAAAGAGAATACCCGTTCGTAAAAAACGTATCAGCACAAGCATGGGCATTTAACTCCATGTTAACTGTTATTAATACTGGACTTTACGAGCTGAAATCTTGGAAAGTTCACGTTGGGTTTCAGCATAACGAGCTTTTAGTGTCAACTGACGGAGCTGTAGCGGTTGAAGGCGACGGATTTCCGATCAAAGTTGGGAAAAACGGCACAGTATTGGCAGGTTTTCCGCAGTCGGATTTGAAGACGGCGATTGATACGGCCGGAGATTTTAATCAGATGGCGGCGCAAGTGAAGATTAAGGGGACGCAATTTGGTGTTTCGCCAAAAGCAACTCCAATGCCTAAGACAATTAAGCTTCTTAATGATGGATATAAGTGTCCTGCTCCTAAGCGCTTCAGTACGTATATATTTTCACAATTTTATATGACAGATATTTGATTTGACACGAGCCTAAACATGCCGACTACTTTTTAAGAGCATGCGATCAGGGTGGATCCAGAGTAGGCGAAACATAAATTTATGAATAAACATTATCTAAAATAAGAACAAATAGTAGATATGAAGCCATAATTTTAAAATATAATAGGTTCAATACTAAATATTTTAAAGGTTGAACCCATAGAATTCAAATCCTGAATCCGCCCCCGCATATAATTATGGAGAGATTAGGAAGTTTAATCTTATTCAGTTTTCAACTATAAAAAATTGTTGTTCTTTTTGAAAGAAACTAAGAAAATAAAAGTAACTATTATATCTCTTCACAACAAGGATATAAAATATGCATATATAGCCGACTCTAACTAATAAGGAATTATCATGAATAATTGATTGTTTTCTATGTTTAAAGTCTATCTGCATTAAAATTTTGTTCTTCATGAGTATGATGAATATTTGCTCGGATCCTCGAAAAATGCCTTCGAGTATGTGTCGGATCTTCCAAAAATAATGCACTTTTGGAGGACCAGACATGGACGCTGCAACATTTTTGAAGGATTCAAGCTACATGGACTGATACAATGTGTCTGCTTTTGTATCTGATCAGAAAACTTTATAGTATTAGAATTTAAAGGATAGATCATACTGCTGAAAGTGTTTAATTTATCTGTTTGCAAAATATGCAGAAACTTATATGCATGCTTGCTGCAAGAGGGACCCCAAATTCAAGCCCAAGAATACTACTCTCAAGTTCATGCCTCGCCAATATGGAGACCTCTCGTTCACATACGACGTTCTATCCGCGTATGAGAACAAGTACCAAGCTCAAGTCACCATCGACAACCTCAATCCCTTAGGCCGTCTTGATCATTGGAACTTGACTTGGGAATGGATGCGAAACGAGTTCATTTATAGCATGAAAGGCGCATACACTCATAAAAAAGACCCTTCTGAATGCATTTACGGGCCTCAGGGACAATATTACAAGGATTTCGACTTCACAACTGTCCTGAATTGTCAAAAGAAGCCACTCATCTCGGATTTGCCACCCGAAAAGGAAAATGATGACAAACTTGGCAAGTTACCTTATTGTTGCAGAAATGGCACACTTTTGCCACCTACTATGAATGAGACTAAGGCAAGATCTATTTTTCAGCTTGAAGTCTTTAAACTTCCTCCTGATATGAACAGAACCGCCCTGTATCCGCCTCAGAATTGGAAAATTGAAGGTACGGTTAATCCGTCTTATAAATGTGGCCCTCCTGTTAGAGTAGATCCAACAGGATTCCCTGATCCTAGTGGAACGGGCATGACTTCTACTGCTGTGGCTAGTTGGCAAATTACTTGCAATATTACGCGTCCAAAGCCAAAAGAAAACAAATGTTGTGTTTCATTCTCAGCTTATTATGCTGATTCTGTTATCCCCTGCAACACTTGCGCTTGCGGCTGTCAACAGACGTCTAAATGTGACGCGAATAGAAAGCCATTGCTTCTCCCTCCACAAGCACTTCTTGTCCCTTTCGAAGACAGGGAAGAAATGGCGGAAGCCTGGAACGCGATCAAACATTTCGGTCCATTTCCTAAGAAACTCCCTTGTCCTGATAATTGTGGGGTGAGCGTAAATTGGCATGTTGATAGTGATTACAAGAGCGGATGGACAGCTCGAGTAACTCTCTTTAACTGGGGAAACGGCGCGTTTGAGGACTGGTTTACGGCCATTCAAATGAAGAAAAACATTGCTGAGGGATATGAAAATGTTTACTCTTTCAATGGTACTAAGTTACCTCAACGTAACGACACGATTTTCATGCAAGGTTTGCCTGGATTGAACTATTTAGTTGGAGAAGTGAATGGAACTAATCCTGATAAAGATCCAAGAGTGCCTGGAAAACAACAATCTGTGATTTCATTCTTGAAAAAACATACACCAAATATTAACATTCCTTCAGGAGATGGATTCCCTGCTAAAATATTCTTCAATGGTGAAGAATGTGCACTTCCAACTGATTTTCCCAAAAGAAATGCAGCATTCAAATCCCAAGTTGGCTTGTTGTCTGCAGTTTTGCTTGCTCTCCTCACTTTTCTTCTGTTGACAGATCAATTACACTGATTCCTATCCCTACAAGCTGGTATAGTCACATTTTCTTTTAACAAAACTAAAATTGTACAATATTTGTTGGTTTTTACTATAGAGTTTACGTTACATACATCGTTAAAAGTAAGTATTTTTTACACCATCAGGTCATCTTTACTTGTTGTAACAAGTACCTGCTTATTTTCAAGATTGAAAATGAGGCTTAACTGTAGATATTCTACAAATGACCTAATAGCGTAAAAAATTCTTTACATACGGTGTGTATAACTTAAGAAAGGGAGCCTTGGCGTAACTGGTAAAATTGCTGTCATGTGACCAGGAGGTCACGGGTTTAAGCCGTGGAAACAGCCTCTTGCATAAATGCAGGGTAAGACTGCGTACAATGGACCCTTGTGGTCCGGCTCTTACCCGGACCCCGCGTATAGCGGGAGCTTAGTGCACGGGGCTGTTTTTTGTGTGTGTATAACTTAAACTTTTATTATGTTGTTTTTGGTCAGTGCTTATTTATTACAGGGTTTTTCTGTTTCAAGATTTTATAGGTCAAATGGACATGAAGTTGGGAGTGTAAAGAAGAGAAGTGGATCAAGAAAAGAGACAAATTAGGCCTGATTTGCAATTTAGAAGACTGTAACAAAGTTGGGACAGAAAATGCATGTACTTTGTTTGATTGATGTATCATAATTAAACTTACCCACAAAATGAATATTTGACCCTTTTTTTCTTGTGTAGTGGAGTATGTTGGTGAGAGTTGGATATTGTTGAAAACTTTTTATGTTCTTCAATAGGAAGTACATAAAAATGGAATATAGAGTTTAGATTATATTCTTGTTCTTAAGCAGTATCAAGACAAGGAGTACTATATATTTCAATACATATTTCTGCTTAAATACTCTTCTTGAAATGATTGATTATCATGATTTCTATTAAACGACCCAAGGTAATTGATATGGAGCACCTTTTGAAGGAGTGAATTTTATTCTAAAAATATTATCTATATATATCTATATCTATACTATATTAAAAGCATGAAAATCCTTAGCGAAATATCGTTCGCCTATTTTACCCCTTTAAAATAGAGTTCACACTGAACAAAATAATCATTTAATTCTCTTCCTGATATTTAGAAGTTTAAATTCAACAGTAAATATTAAATCTTTCCTTATTTGAACAATATGAGAAATTCTAATATTTTGGGGCTTTATATTCCATTAT